GAAATCAATGATTTCAATGAAATACTTTTGAATTTTTAAAAAAATTTTTAATTCAATTTTTGCTATTGCCTAAAATATGATCAACAATTAATTAAAATAATCAAAATTAGTTCCTAATTATTGGATGAGAGAAACAAACATCCTATGGTTAGAATAAAAATAAAAAAATGCTTTCCTAAATAAATAAAACAAAAATTTCAAATTTAAAATTTCAATCTTTTTCAATTACGTTTTATTAATAAAGGAAAAAAAAAAAAGAAGCTAATAAGTATTGATTGTTTGAGCTCTGGGAGGGAAATCATACATTATCATTATCATAATCATAAGCATTTATCATTATCCATCATCATAATTCCAAATAATTAGCTAAAAAGATTGAGATGAATGAATGAAGTTACCGTAACAAGTGACAAATAGTTTACACAACAGATGGTTAACAAAAGTGTTTATGCAAATGATTAATTGCTTCAATTCATTGTTTACTAATTACTGTTTAATTATTGGTCAAATTAAGGAAATTAATGAAATTTAGGGAACAAAACAACAAATATATGATAGATATTAGATATGATAAAATCAAGAAAATGAGTAAAGAAATTTAAAATTGAGAGAATTAAATGTGACAATATATTTTGTTCATAATAAATTTTAATTGTTTGAAATTTCAATTTATCGTAATTCGAGAGAGCTGTATTAAAATTAAGCTGTATTAATAAATAATACAACTTTGGTAAATTGTTTGAATTTTTAATTTTTGCTGTTAATCAAATAGATTTGTAAGAGAATTATTGTTACTTTCTGACTTCTTTTTTTCTAATTTTTTTTCTTTTGCATTTTAAATAAATTATTGAAGCATTATTATTTGTTTATGGGTTATGTTTGATTGTACTGTTTATTTCTTTTCAATTTAAAAAAAAAAAATTGATCAAAATATTTAAAAAAAAAAAGGAAATGCATTAATGATAATAATTAATTGATGACTTTTTTAAAATGTGTGAAAGAATGAAATTGAATTGCAATTGTAAATGAAACCAATCATTCATTCAACCATTCATTATTTTTTCGTAAATTGCTTTTTTTTTTTTTTTGAAATTTGTAAGCTCTTACTTTCTTCTTTCGTACTACACAACTGCTATTGCTTTTGCTGCTATTTCAAACAAAATAAGAAAAGTGTAAATCGTAAATTCAATAATCACTACGAAAGAAAATAAAGAAAAAAAAGAAAAGATGAAAGTTTACGTATTTGTAAATTTTCAATTTTTTAAATAAAATCATTTTTGTATTAAATCAATTTTTCCTTATTTACTAACTTACATTGTAATAAATAAACATTAAATAATAATTTTTAAAAATAGCAAATCAAATTGTAATTTTTCATAATAATTGTTAATTTTATTAAAATTAATAAATGATAAATAATTATTTTAAAGAAAATAAGAAAAGAAATAATCGAAAGTAATTTTAGTAAGCTATTAGTATATAAGTGGATAATTAAACCTTATCAAAAGCTAAAATCAATCCAATAACAGAATTAGAAAACAGATGACAAATGAAATGATTGGTAAACAGCTAATTACTCCTTTAATACTGTGCTTTGAACCATTCAAATATTCGCAACAATGACATTTTAACTTGAGAAAAAAAAAAAAAAAAGAAAAAGCAAAGACGACGAAATGAGGAAAAAAAGCCACCTGTCGTTTAGCATACAGAACAATACATTTAGTTTATAAAATTGAATTTTCGTTTTTCTAACAATAATTTCTTTGTGTAAATTTATTCCTAAAAATTCCTCCTTCTTTCGTATCTTCCTCTGCATCCACCCCCTCATCTATCTTCCCTCCTCCGCACTCCGCCCTCCGCTCTCCGCCCCTACACCTATTACCTCCTCCCTACTCATATCCATTCCCTTTTCACCCACATCAACCCCCTCGCTCCTCCACATTCACCTCCCCTCTCTTCCATATCCTCCTCCTCCATCCTCACATCCTCCCACACCCATACTTTCATTCCGTACATTCTCCTCCGCATCCGCCTCCTTTATCCATTCTCCCTCTCCGCATCCACCTCCTTATTCATTGCTCCTCCTCCGCATCCGCCTCTTCATCCATTCTCCCTCCTCCGCATCCACCTCCTCATCCATCCTCCCTCCTCCGCATCCACCTCCTCTCTCTCCCACATTCCCACTAGGAATAATTACATTCGTTAATGAGAAAATTAAATGTCTCAGTGATTCGTTGCATTTTATCAGTACAATGAATACTTTAAGGAGCAATATGAAGTCTTTTTTTTGAAAAAAAAATGCAAAATTTCATTTTTTAGAAGAACAATAGGAAACAAAATGTTACACATTAAAAACACTTCATCACTATCAGTATATTGTTCCCAAGATAGGTACATTGGTACTCTAAATATTATTCCAGGGCAAAATTGTAATGGTGTTAGGTCTGGATAAATATTTATCAAAATGTCATTTACTTATTTTTTTTTTACTTCAATCAAAAACACCTAACAAGGAAGCTAGCAGTAAAATCCCAAAGAATAAGGAGCAGGAAAATCTTTTTGAGAGTATATAGCAAACAAAATTTGTTTCATAGCTATACTGTAGCGCTAATTAGCATTTTCTTAACTCAATAATTTGATAATAAATGAACATAAATACAATTCTTGTATTTCAACCCAACATTAAACTATATCACAAAAATTAGTATCTAAAAGAAACATGAAAGAAATGAATAAGCTAAATGCTTCCTAAATCTTGAATATAATCTTCAGAACTTGAAAAGAAATTTAAATAGATAAATAATTCGAATAAGAAAATAAGGAAAAAATTATGGGAAAGAAATAAAGGAA